TTGAACAGAATGTCAAACCATCAGTCAAGGAGCTAAAGCTGGGCCGAAAATGGGTCTTCCAACAAGACAACGACCCAAAGCATTCAAGCAAATCTACCAAAGAATGGCTCAGGAGAAAGAAGATTTGTGTTTTGGATTGGTCAAGTCAAAGTCCTGACCTAAATCCAATCGAGATGCTGTGGCAGGACCTAAAGCTGGCAGTTCATGCCAGACACCCCTCAAACCTCACTCAATTGGCTGAGTTCTGTAAGGAGGAGTGGGCAAAAATCCCTCAAAACAGATGTCAGAGACTGATTACTGGCTATAGGAGACGTTTAGTCCAAGTTATCGCTGCTAATGGAGGTGCCACAAGCTATTGACTGAAGGGGTTCACATATATTTTTGCCCACATCAAATCTGAGTTTCTGTTAAATAAACCACTTATGTTAAATAAACAATGAAAATATATACTTTTTTTGTTTCTGTCATTTACTTGGAATGTCTTTATTACGAATTGGCGTTTAGATAAAATCCTTATGTTTATTTTAATATTTCATAGCAAAATAATGACCAGCCCTGTAGGGTTCACATACTTTCAAGCAGCACTGTAGGTCCTGGATGGCAGGAAGCATGGCCCCAGTGATGTACTGGGCCGTACGCACTTCCCTCTGTAGCGCCTTACGGTCTGATGCCGAGCAGTTGCCATACCAGGCGGTGATGCAACCGGTCAGGATGCATTGTGATGAAGTTTCAAAACCCCAGATTGTCAAATACAATCAAACCTGAGTTGGACAACTGATGGAACACTTGAGATAGGGCTGCCTTTCCTCTGTTTTAGATCTTATTTAAGATATTACTACTGTTCATACATTTTATGTTTCTTGATATGAGTATTGTTAATTTAATGTAAGAACACGAGTCACTGTTAAATGTGTCATACTGAATTAAAGTCATTTGAAGGTGAGACTGAAATAGAGGTTACATTTAAGACTCGCCAGTGTGTTTCAAACATCCCAAACATGGTTTCCTAGTTGAGAGACTAAGTTATTGTACGAATAAATGTAGTGTGTTGCTCCTATTATCAGTGTGGTCTAGGGTTGGGCGACATCAACCTTTGTCCTATTGTGATTATGTACCCATAAAACATTGTGATATGCGATGCAACTGGACAAATCCTGATGAAAAATGATGTTGAGAGCCTGGCCAGAAGCTAAGTGCAGGCAATGCAAATCTTTTCTGATATTCCTTTCTGGTGGAGGAGCAGACCAGGTTTATGTGTCTGTGGAGCAGTGACTGTCTGATGAGGATCGGGCTGTCTTAGTGAGCTAGGTTGTAGGCCTACATCATGGGCTGGATAGAAGCAGTCTGCAGTCTTCAGAACTGGATAATAGTTGCTTTATTTGCCTCATAAAATAGAACCAACTATTTGTTTTTCTACAATCTCATACAGCTGTGATTCAGAATAGCCTATGCCTTTTGTTATTTTTGAAAGCCACAACAACTTTAAGACAACCCCTTCGTAGGTTAGAATGTTAGTGAAATAAGCTACTGTTTATAACTAGTAGGAGGAGATGTTATTGTCCATTTGGTTTTCAACCTCACATGGCGGGATTTTCTTAATTTATTATTTCTTAATAAGCTTGAACTTGATTAAACTTGTCATAAAATGTTGCTATTGATATATTTATCTCTCATTATTAGTCCTCTGGCTACCTTACATTTTAAGGCTATTCAAATAACTTTTTGAGATGGATTGGGTCAAAGCCATGCATAAAACGATGAACACCTTCTGTCATATTCATAGCCTATCGAATGGAGAGAGAAGGGAATACAGGCCGTTTTTTCTAAACAGCTAGACACAAGCTAGTGTTCTTTATAAAAAATAAATAGGTTTAGGCTATAGCCTAATGCCAATGCATGAGAGAGAGGGAAATATTATTTTCTGACTGGACATTTTGCGCTGCCTTGGTTGAATTCTCCGCACTGTCTGGCCTCCATCCCTCTCTTGCGTTCTGTAGGCTATATAGAATATTTATTGAAATAGGGTATAGCAAAAAGGAATAGGCAAATTACTCGGAATGTCACTTGTGTGTTGCCCTGCTGTGTGCTGCGAGACTTTTTTTTTTTTTTACTGCGCGGCGCCAGTCAAGTTCAAATAGGCTAAACCAGGGGTGTCAAACTCATTTTAGCTCAGGGGCCACATGGAGGAAAATCTATTCCCAAGTGGGCCGGACCGGAAAAATCATGGTATATATAACTTAAAAACAACAACTTCAGATTGTTTTCTTTGTTTTAATACGATCAACATACAACATAAAGCTGGAGCCTGAGGACAGTGTGTCCAAAATAGTACAAGCACAACATCACTATTAATCATAAAACACGTCAAGTTTATTTGAAAATTCTAAAGAAAAAGAACACACAAACACACAATGCCTCAGTGATTAACAGAACTGTTTCACAGATCACAGAACTATATCAGGGTGTCATTTCTCAGGCAGAAATGTAGATACAAATAATGAAATCCTGTTCCCCAAACAAGTGCAAGAACCACAGAGTCAAGAATAGGTTAAATATACAAATAAAATAAAAACAATTAAAAACAATAGCACATCAACATAAAAACATATAAACATAAAGCTGGAGCCTGAGGACAGTGTCCAAAAGCACAACATCACTATTAATCATAAAACACCTCAAGTTATTTGAAAGTTCTGAGGACAAAGAACACACAAACACACAATGCCTCAGTGATTAACAGAACTGTTTCACAGATCACAGAACTATATCAGGGTGTCATTTCTCAGGCAGAAATGTAGATAAAAATAATGAAATCCTGTTCCCCAAACAAGTGCAAGAACCACAGAGTCAAGAATAGGTTAAATATACAAATAAAATAAAATCAATTAAAAACAATAGCACATCAACATAAAAACATATAAACATAAATATGAAAGCGTTGCTCAAACTCCCGTAACAGTCCCGTTATTTTATCTTTGAACCGCTTCATGTCTGCCACATGTTGGGTCGCGCACACATTTTTCAGACAGGGGAAGTGAGCTGCATCACCACCGGCAAGTTGCGTCTCCCACAATGACAGCTTCAACTTGAAAGAACGTATGCTGTCATAATACTGTGTGACAACTTTGTTGCGCCCTTGCAGCTGTTTGTTCAAGTTATTCAGGTGCTCTGTAACATCCACCATAAATGCAAGGTCCTGCATCCATTCTGCGGAATGAAATTCTAACACTGGTTTGCCCTTTTCTTCCATGAACTGTTCAATTTCTTCTCGTAAATCAAAGAAACGCCTCAGCACAGCACCTCGGCTTAACCATCTTACCTCAGTGTGGTATGGCAGGCCATAGATGTGGTCTTTCTCTGTGAGAAGGCTGTCAAACTGACGGTGATTCAGGCTTCTGGATCGGATGAAATTAACAGTTTGGATGACCACCTTCATGACGTTATCCATCTTTAATGACTTGCAACACAAAGCCTCCTGGTGCAAAATACAGTGAAAAGTCAAAAAATCACATCCTCCATTTGCAGATTGCACTTTCTCTCTGAACTTTGTCACAACGCCTGCTTTTTTCCCGATCATTGAGGGCGCACCATCTGTAGCCAGGCTGACAGCGCGGGACCAGTCCACTCCGACCCTGTCCAGCGCGCCGACGAGTGCGGTAAAAATATCAGCTGCTGTCGTTGTATCTGTCATCGGCACCAACTCCACGAACTCCTCGGTGACGGTCAATGTGTCATCAACTCCGCGGATGAAAATGGCCAGTTGTGCAACATCTGTAATGTCCGTGCTTTCATCAATTGCAACCGAAAACGCAATAAATGACTTTACTTTTTACTTCAACTGGCTGTCCAAATCCACTGAAAGATCGGAAATCCTGTCTGCAACTGTGTTTCTTGTCAGGCTGATATTTGCAAAAGCCTGGTGCTTTTCAGGGCACACAATCTCTGCTGCCTTCATCATGCATGTTTTTACAAATTCACCCTCACTAAATGGTTTTGAAGCCACTGCGATTTCATTAGCAATGAGGTAGCTAGCTTTCACTGCAGCGTCACTGATGTCTCGGCTGTGAGTAAACACAGACTGCTGTTTCTTCAGACCCGCCAACAGTTCATTCACCTTCTCTCATCTCCGCTGTCCTTGAAAGTTGTCATATTTGTCGGCATGAAGACTCACATAGTGGCGACGAAGGTTATATTCTTTCAGCACTGCAACATGCTGTGAACACACCAAACATACAGCTTTCCCATTCAATTCCGTGATTAAATAGGATGACCATTTTTCTTGGAACACTCTGCACTCTGCGTCCACTTTTCTCTTTTTTGACAGAGACATATTGGGGCAATGAGGGTGCCAAAGCACATAATGTTAAAAGTAGAAGCCGTAATAAATATCGCGGGCAAAACAAAGTAGCTCATTGGCTGCACGTGCTTGACCTACTTGCTCTGCCCCGGTATAAACAGTTTGCTTGCTTAACACAATTGCTATTGCGCCATCCAGTGAACGCAATTGGAACAGCAGTTTATTTTATTGAAAAATTGCAGCGCATTTTTATACTTTACAAAAAAATAAAAATTATTTTATTTTTTTACATTTATTTTCAAAATCATCTCGCGGGCCGGATTAAACCCGTTTGCGGGCCTGATCCGGCCCGCGGGCCGTATGTTTGACACCCCTGGGCTAAACCATCATCGTCTGTCACATCACGATGTCGTCGCCATAGACGATACTATCGTCATATCGCCCAACCCTAGTGTGGTCGTGCAGAGCTGTTACTATTATTACTGTAATTATAATAGTACTTTTTTTTCCTATGGTATCTCCCTCATGGTTCATTCTATAAAGAGGTGTGTGTGTGTGTCTGGTAGGAGTCGCTCTCGGAGGTGGAGGAGAAGTATAAAAAAGCCATGGTGTCGAACGCACAGCTGGACAACGACATCTAACCTCAACTAATCTATCCAACCTCATCTAAAACGTGGACACACTCAAAGACGTCATCGAGGAGATGGAAGAGCAGATGGCCGAAATGCGTAGGGAAACTGAGGACAAGTCTAAGGTGAAGTGTTAAACACTCTTTCACACACACACAGCGTAGTAGATCACCTTTAACATTTACTGTTAACACAGGCAGACTCGGACAGAGCCGAGCATATGCAAATTGCAGCAGTCTCCAACCACACTATCAACTTGTTCATACTTGCACTCATTCATGTGTGCAGGTCTTACAATCAGCAAAGCGGCCAAGTCCAACTGCACCATTGTCTGTCTGACCATGAGATCCACTGCTCTCTGCTGACGATTGGGTGTAGCTGTATAACTCCGGAGGAAACAAGGCCAAAGCAAAGTGGTCCCTGATCCAATTACCTGGCTAGACTTAAATGCTAAAAGTGTAAACATCAATGGAATCTTGCTCACTGACCATGACTGCACTCTTTTTTGGGTGGTTTTGAGATTTTAAACTTGTGTAATGAACAATGTTGCACTTTCTGATTGATTGCATGTCTTACATCTGCCCTCTTTCATTCCAGGAACTAGAAAGACAAAAGCACACATGCACAGTACTGCAGCACAAACAAGTGGAGTTAAAAGAGGGAATCCGCCAAAGAGATGAACTCATAGAGGTATGGCTGCACTAAGAAAACCAACATTTGGTGGCCATCCATTTACACCTACACCTCTTTCTACACTTCCATTATTTACAGTCCTGTAGTCTGTGTACTGCAGTAGCTTGATGAAGATCCATAGTGTGAGACTACACTTCTCTCTCTCATAGTCTCACACTCATCCCAGTGTCTCCTCTCCTCTGATTCATCGTTTTCTCTGTCTGGTCTTTGTCACATTTCTTTGCCTTGTTTCTCTATACTGAAATTATCTCTAATCCAGATCATTTTCTGGCCACCTTACTTTTCATCACTCTCTCACTCTCACTCTATCACTCAATTTCTATTCAAGGCTATCTATATTTTTATGTTTCATCCTCTAATTTCTCCTTTCATATCTCTTTCCATCCTTTTCATCTATTTTATTCTGTTTTTCATTCTATTTTACCCTGTATCCCATTTCACTCTCTCTGTACGCAATACCACTACAGGAAAACCAGCAAATCCAGAATAAGTTAGATACCCTCACCAGAGACGTGTTTGACCTGCAGGAAACGATAAACTGGAAGGACAAAAATATTGGGGTAGGAGGTCACGCTAGGGACTGAAGGATTGTGAGAGGCAATAGATGTGCACAGACATGTTCAGACAGCTTGTGTTGTTTTGGTTTGTATGTTTCTCTCTGACCAAATGAAAATTGAAGGGTTGTGTTTAGATTAAAATGTAAGTGTACATTCGTTCACACCCTCCTCACGTATTTAAAAGCATTGGGTTGGTGCAAGCATGGCTGGAGGGAGTTTCCACCATATTCCTTACATCAGTCCAATTCCTTTTAAATCCATGAGGGGCAGTCTTACTAGTGTAAAATTCAGCAGAAGGGTAGAGAATCGGACCACCCATATCAACCTGTAGAGTTGCCTGAAGGAAACTTGGTGCTGATTCACCGATCAATTAAATCTGTATTAGGTAATCGACTGGTCCTAAACGTTTATTGCCTCTCATAGTTGCATGACAGGGAACCTGGATAATAGCCAGTAGTTGTTGGACCAATTCTAATTCACAGTTTGGAGTTTCCCCTAAATGTGCATGTGATATGATGATTGTGGGCTCACTAATTTAATACAGTTTGGATGCTATAGTCATGATAGGTTCAAATGTAGGTTTTGTGTGCACTCCGTAAAGTTTAGTCAGTGCAAGGGAAAATGTGAACCTGCAAGCATTTATGTATGGAAAATGATGTGAAATTTCTCCCCTTTAAAACTCATATTTGATTTACCCTGAAATGACAGCATGAAATCCATTTCAGTTATGTAGGCCTAGACCTAAAGCTCTGCCTGTCTAGTGTCAGATAGATTTTTTTTATTTGGCCTTTAGCTCTCCCTTACATCAATGTTTTGTCATGTGTTGTTTTATCTGTGAGCATGTGGTGGTTGTGTCAACATCTGTCACTTTGCCTTTCCAACTCAACCTTACCATTCTGGTGTACATTTTGCGTGTCTACAGACATATGTGCATGTACAAAGGACATTGTAGTGGGCATGCATATACTGTACGTCTATCAGTCTTTCCACCCGTTCCTCCACTTCTTTTCTCTCCCTTCTCTTTCTTTATGTCTTCTCTGGCTGACATCAAGGCGAAGGCCAAAACAGGAGAGTTAGGTCTCACCACCAGAGGGCTGGGAATAGTCTATATCCCCATTGAATAGACAAAGTAGGTTCCAGGAATAAGCTTGCTAGAAACAGAACAGTGATAATAAAGCAACTTGTGGTATGTAGCTATGCATGTCTTCTTGTGTACCTCAGTTTGTTTTGTATTTTTTCTTACTCTGTTGTTTCTTCCACCTCCCCTCCCGATGTCAAATGTGTTGAACTACACTGAGTATACCAATCATTAGGAACACCTTCGTAATATTGAGTTGCACCCTCCCTTTGACCTCAGAACAGCCTCAATTCTTCAGGGCATGGACTCTACAGGGTGCCAAAAGCGTTCCACAGGCGCACGTTGACTCCAATGCTTCCCACAGTTGTGTTAAGTTGGCTGGATGTCCTCTGGGTGGTGGACCATTCTTGATACAAACGGGAAACTGTTAAGCGTGAAAAACCCAGCAGCGTTGCAGTTCTTGACACAAACCGGTGCGCCTAGCACCAACTACCATACCCAATTCAAAGACACTTAAATATTTTGTCTTGCTCATTACCCCTCTGAATGGCACACATACACAATCCATGTCTCAATTGTCTCGAGGCTTAAAATCTTCCTTTAATCTGTCTCCTCCCCTTCATCTACACTGAGTGAAGTGGATTTAACAAGTGACATCAATAAGGAAAGAGCAGGTGTTCTTAATATTTGTATACTCTGTGTATGCTGTGTGTTTGTCCGTCTGTGTACAAGCAATGGAAACCTCAGTAAACCGTTACTTCATACAGTTCTACATGGTCTGCTCTGTGGCTTATTGCATTTCAAACCGTGAAATACATCAAGTTCTCATCTGTAAACCCTCCTATGCTGCCTCACTCTAGCCAAGTTCCAATGACCGTACTATCATGGTCCAATTCATACTGAGTGGTATGCTAGTGTGGATATTGGGACATAGCCTCTCTGTGTTGAGGTCCTCTTTTAACCCTGTCTCCCTTTGACTCCTTAGAAACACGGCCTGGTCATCATCCCAGAGGGAATGCCTAATGGGGACATCAGCCATACCGACCCAGCCACAGGGATCACCGTGGTTACACAGGAGGCTGCCCAGGTGCTGGAGTCAGCAGGAGAAGGGCATCTGGGTGAGTGGAGGGAACAGAACAGGCTCTCCTAAAGGGAGCACAAATAAATGAATTCATATCTGTGATGTACATGTGTTATTTAGTCAATAATAAACCAGGGGGCGCGCTTCATTGTTATTTTAGCACAGTGGTGCTGCGGTCATAGGTGTAAGGCACCTTTTTATAATCATATTTTTTCTCCTTTGCAGATGTTAGGCTACGAAAGCTTGCGGATGAAAGGGATGAACTATTAGCCCAGGTATATATCTTTCCTCTTCAACCCCAGTTTCCTCTTGACAATTTTCTCATGTCTTTTTTAACTGCCTGTTAAGCTATAATAAGTAATGCTGTCCATTCTGTGTGGTGTCCCTCAGATCAGGAAGTTGAAAATGCAACTGGAGGATGAGAGGCAGAAGAAATCCAAGATGGAGAATGCCTTCACAGACAGAGAGAGGATGGAGAATGGCACTGACCTGCACTTCATTGAGATGCAAAGTAAGTCCCGTTCCTGCCCAAACCTACAAAAGTTCACACTACCATTCACACAAACATACAAAGGCATACACGTCGCCATTGATACAAAGCCTATGCACACTCACTCAGAGGCTTTCTCTTTAAATTAAACACTGCCAAAAAGAAACTAACAGCAAGGCTCACATCTTAATTCCCTTGTCCTGTGTAAGTACCTGTACTAACTCAAATGTTCTAATGTTTTACTCTCTGCAGGAGATGCCAACAGACAGATAAGTGAATACAAGTTCAAGCTCTCGAAGGCAGAACAGGAAATGGGCACAATGGAACAAAACGTAATTCATGGAAACACTGACATACTTTTCCCCCCGTCCATATGTACCCTAGCTGACCATATTCAAACTGCTGAACCAGACACATTAATATACAGTGCCTTCGGAAAGTATTCAGACCCCTTGACTTTTTCCACATTTTGTTACGTTACAGCCTTATTCTGAAATTGATTACATTGTTTTTTTTACCCTCAATCTACACACAATACCCCATAATGACTAAGCAAAAATAGGTTTTTAGAAAATTTATTACAAATAAAAAACTGAAATATAACATTTACATAAGTATTCAGGCCCTTTACTCAGTACTTTGTTGAAGCACCTTTGGCAGCGATTACAGCATCGAGTCTTCTTGGGTATGACGCTACAAGCTTGGCACACCTGTATTTGGGGAGTTTCTCCCATTCTTCTCTGCAGATCCTTGCAGGCTCTGTCAGGTTGGATGGGGAGTGTCGCTGCACAGCTATTGTCAGGTCTCTCCAGAGATGTTCAATTGGGTTAAAGTCCGGGCTCTAGCTGGGCAACTCAAGGACATTCAGAGACTTGTCCCGAAGTCACTCCTGCGTTGTCTTGGCTGTGTGCTTAGGGTCGTTGTCCTGTTGGTGAACCTTCGCCCCAGTCTGAGGTCCTGAGCGCTCTGGAGCAGGTTTTCATCAAGGATCTCTCTGTACTTTGCTCTGTTCATCTTTCCCTTGATCCTGACTAGTCTCCCAGTCCCTGCTGCTGAAAAACATCCCCACAGCATGATGCTGCCACCACCATGCTTCATCGTAGGGATGGTGCCACATTTCCTCCAGAGCTGACGCTTGACATTCAGGCCAAAGAGTTCAATCTTGGTTTCATCAGACCATAGAATCTTGTTTCTCATGGTCTGAGAGTGTTTAGGTGCCTTTTGGCAAACTCCAAGCTGGCTGTCATGTGCCTTTTACTGAGAAGTGGCTGCCGTCTGGCCACTCTACCATAAAGGCCTGATTGGTGGAGTGCTGCAGAGATGGTTGTCCTTCTGGAAGGTTCTCCCATCTCCACAGAGGAACTCTAGAGCTCTGTCAGTGTGACCATCGGGTTCTTGGTCACCTCCCTGACCAAGGCCCTTCTTCCCCGATTGCTCAGTTTGGTCGGGCGGCCAGCTCTAGGAAGAGCTTTGGTGGTTCCAAACTTCTTCCATTTAAGAATGATGGAGGCCACTGTGTTCTTGTGAACCTTCAATGCTTTTTTGGTACCCTTCCCCAGGTCTGTGCCTCGACACAATCCTGTCTCGGAGCTCTACGGACAATTGGTCATGGCTTGGTTTTTTCTCTGACATGCTCTGACATGCACTGTCAACTGTGGGACCTTATATAGACAGGTGTGTGCCATTCCAAATCATGTCCAGTCAATTGAATTTACCACAGGTGGACACGAATCAAGTTGTAGAAACATCTCAAAGATGATCAATGGAAACAGGATGCACCTGAGCTCAATTCCGAGTCTCATAGCAAAGCTTCTGAATACTTATGTAAAATAGGTATATCTGTTTATTTGAAATTTTATACATTTGTTAAAATTTCAAAAAAAAAACTGTTGTCGCTTTGTCATTATGGGGTATTGTGTGTAGATTACTGAGGATTTTATTTTTATTTTATCCATTTTAGAATAAGGCTGTAATGTAATAAAAAGTGGAAAAAGTCAAAGGGTCTGAATACTTTCCTAAGGCATTTTAGTATTCGAATGAGAAAATGAAAATAAATGTCAGCTTCAAAGGTGAAGGTTGCATTTAATTTGTTTTTGTTTCATTATCCTCATATCCAGATCAACAGACTTGAAGGACAAGTGTCCAGATACAAGGCATCAGCGGATAACTCAGAGAAAATAGAAGATGAACTGAAAATTGAAAAAAGGAAACTTCAAAGAGAGGTAAGGAACAAAATAAAATATAAAAAATTGCAGTGGCCGATGCTTGATTTGACGTAAAACATAGTCTAACCTTTCATCTCTAACCATTCCCCTCTTTTTCCCACAGCTGCGGACTGCACTAGATAAGATTGAAGAGATGGAGATGACAAACAGCCACCTATCAAAGCGCCTTGAGAAGATGAAGGCCAATCGGAACGCCCTTCTGTCTCAGCAGTGAAGGCCGCTGGATTGCCACAGAAGCCCTTACACTCATACCTTTGACTGCCATATTGCGTCTGGAACACATTTCCATTCTTCCTCAGTGACACTTGTTGTGAAGCAAAACCAAAAACACTTACAGAAAAAAGCAACACTGGTAGAACAGAGGCTAAAGTCTTTTTAAAATAAAGATAGGCAATGGTTTGTCTTTTTTGTGCGCCAGTGTCTTTGGAAGGGAGACTCAAAAACCTATTAAACCATAGTTATTAGGGGAAGATGATGAATCTATGAAATTCGCCACTCATTACTTTATTTTTCAATGCTTTGGACTACATGTTATTCACAAGGTTTTACTTCTCTCTGGCTGGGTGCTTGGCTATTTCTTTGTAAAAAAAGTTTTGCTAAGTTGAATGAATAAGTATTATGACTGTTTTGAACTGTTAAACCCTCACGGCTGCTCTCTCTGGCCTGCACCTATCCATAATCCCTCACACAGTGAAGTGCCTTCTCACACCTGGACTGAGGGTTTTGCATTATTAGAAACAATTCTAAACAAATAAAATAACCGGTACAGAATAATGTATTTAAAGGTGCAGTCATGATTTGATGAAATATGTAGAACCAATTGTCTGAGATTTCATTGAGAATTTAAAAAATATATAAATATTTTAAAATATTTATTGAAAATGTGTAAATGACAGAACTGTAGATACAAAGTGGATGTTATTATTTATTTATTTTTTGCATGGGTTATGGCACATTGAATTCCCTTTGGAAGAGGAGTGATGGTTCAAGGTTCTTTATTGAGTTAAAAAAGAAAGGCAAGTATGTCAACAGAAGACGGCACTACATACCACTTTCTCCTCAAACTGTGTTCGCTGCTCTAAATGCCAAGCAGTTTCAAGTCTCAGGACCACACAGTGATTGTGACTGGGGCAGCTACTGCATTGAAATACTCTGAATAAACTCTATACCAGATTTATACAGCCCTTTTTTTGTTTCATTTTGTAGATTTTTTCCATCAATCATGAACAATTTGTTAGATTTTTTTTATTATTGTTAGATCATTTTCCTTGTTTCAGGTCAACAACAAATTGTACATACAGTATGTACATATATTTGAATTAAAAAACGTTAACATAAACCAACCAACAAACACAAAAAAATTAAAATAAATTATACATTCCCTTTCAGTTCTCAGCTTTAAATTTGTAATTGTTTTATTTCTAAAATGTGTGGCTGTAGTGTGTAAAATACCTACACAACAATATATTTATTTCATACAAGAAAGCGACCAGGGTCCAGTTGACCCATAAATTCATATAATTTTTATATTGATACTTCGCAGGGTATCTGCAAGATTAGGGGGAAGAGATAGCAAAAGGGGTCCCATATAGAATAGAAATCTCCTTTGTTCCTAAATATAGGACACATTTTCTCCAGTGGTAACACTTTGAAGATCTCACAATACCACTGATTTATTGTTGGAGGCTGATCTTTTATCAAGTTAAGGAGAATGCATTTGCGGTCCACAAAAAGTAATTTTTAAAGAAGATTGAGCTGTGTTAAAGTAAGTGAGGGCCTGTTCCCGACAACACCCAATACAAATAGCAATGGGTCCATTCTTATAGGACATATGAACATTTTACTTAATGGGCAAGTCCAAAGCAGATGGTCATGAGTGCCTTTTTCCTTCTTACACTTACAACAGGTATCAGAGAATTCTGCTTTCATTTTATTACATATAATGGGAGCGCTATGAACACTTTGCATAATCTTATATTGCATCTCTTGCACCTTGTTGCAGGCGAACGGTTGTCTTGCTTCGAGCATAGCCTTTGTCCAATTTTTTATTTCTGGGCATCTCCCCAGCTCAGTTTCCCATACCCTAATCAGAGCACTTGGGTTACTTTCAACAGAGTATATACAGTTGAAGTTGGAAGTTTACATATACTTAGATTGGAGTCATTAAAACTTGTTTTTCAACCACTCCACAAATGTCTTGTTAACAAACTGTAGTTTTGGCAAGTCGGTTAGGACATCTACTTAGTGCATGACAAAAGTAATTTTTCCAACAATTGTTTATAGACAGATTATTTCTCTGTATCACAATTCCAGTGGGTCAGAAATGTACATACACTAAATTGACTTGCCTTTAAACAGCTTGGAAAATTCCAGAAAATGATGTCATGGCTTTAGAAGCTTCTGATAGGCTAATTGACATAATTTGAGTCAATTGGAGGTGTACCTGTGGATGCATTTCAAGAACCTACCTTCAAACTCAGTGCCTCTTTGCTTGACATCATGGGAAAATCAAAAGAAATCAGCCAAGACCTCAGAAAACAAAATTGTAGACCTCCACAAGTCTGGTTCATCCTTGGGAGCAATTTCCAAACGACTGAAGGTACCACGTTCATCTGTACAAACAATAGTACGCAAGTATAAACACCATGGGACCACGCAGCCGTCATACCGCTCAGGAAGGAGACACGTTCTGTCTCCTAGAGATGAACGTACTTTGGTGCGAAAAGTGCAAATCAATCCCAGAACAACAGCAAAGGACCTTGTGAAGATGCTGGAGGAAACAGGTTCAAATGTATCTACAGTGGGGGAAAAAAGTATTTAGTCAGCCACCAATTGTTAGAGAGGCCTGTAATTTTCATCATAGGTACACGTCAACTATGACAGACAAATTGAGGAAAAAAATCCAGAAAATCACATTGTAGGATTTTTTATGAATTTATTTGCAAATTAAAAAAATAAGTATTTGGTCACCTACAAACAAACAAGATTTCTGGCTCTCACAGACCTGTAACTTCTTCTTTAAGAGGCTCCTCTGTCCTCCACTCGTTACCTGTATTAATGGCACCTGTTTGAACTTGTTATCAGTATAAAAGACACCTGTCCACAACCTCAAACAGTCACACTCCAAACTCCACTATGGCCAAGACCAAAGAGCTGTCAAAGGACACCAGAAACAAAATTGTAGACCTGTACCAGGCTGGGAAGACTGAATCTGCAATAGGTAAGCAGCTTGGTTTGAAGAAATCAACTGTGGGAGCAATTATTAGGAAATGGAAGACAACAAGACCACTGATAATCTCCCTCGATCTGGGGCTCCACGCAAGATCTCACCCCGTGGGGTCAAAATGATCACAAGAACGGTGAGCAAAAATCCCAGAACCACACGGGGGGACCTAGTGAATGACCTGCAGAGAGCTGGGACCAAAGTAACAAAGCCTACCATCAGTAACACACTACGCCGCCAGGGACTCAAATCCTGCAGTGCCAGACGTGTCCCCCTGCTTAAGCCAGTACATGTCCAGGCCCGTCTGAAGTTTGCTAGGGTGCATTTGGATGATCCAGAAGAGGATTGGGAGAATGTCATATGGTCAGATGAAACCAAAATATAACTTTTTGGTAAAAACTCAACTCGTCGTGTTTGGAGGACAAAGAATGCTGAGTTGCATCCAAAGAACACCATACCTACTGTGAAGCATGGGGGTGGAAACATCATGCTTTGGGGCTGTTTTTCTGCAAAGGGACCAGGACGACTGATCCGTGTAAAGGAAAGAATGAATGGGGACATGTATCGTGAGATTTTGAGTGAAAACCTCCTTCCATCAGCAAGGGCATTGAAGATGAAACGTGGCTGGGTCTTTCAGCATGACAATGATCCCAAACACACCGCCCGGGCAACGAAGGAGTGGCTTCGTAAGAAGCATTTCAAGGTCCTGGAGTGGCCTAGCCAGTCTCCAGATCTCAACCCCATAGAAAATCTTTGGAGGGAGTTGAAAGTCCGTGTTGCCCAGCGACAGCCCCAAAACATCACTGCTCTAGAGGAGATCTGCATGGAGGAATGGGCCAAAATACCAGCAACAGTGTGTGAAAACCTTGTGAAGACTTACAGAAAACGTTTGACCTGTGTCATTGCCAACAAAGGGTATATAACAAACTATTGAGAAACTTTTGTTATTGACCAAATACTTATTTTCCACCATAATTTGCAAATAAATTCATTAAAAATCCTACAATGTGATTTTCTGGATTTTTTTTCCTCTTATTGTCTGTCATAGTTGATGTGTACCTATGATGAAAATTACAGGTCTCTCTCATCATTTTAAGTGGAAGAACTTGCACAATTGGTGGCTGACTACATACTTTTTTCCCCACTGTATATCCACAGTAAAACTAGTCCTCTATCGACATAACCTGAAAGTCCGCTCAGCAAGGAAGAAGCCACTGCTCCAAAACAGCCATAAAAAAAGCCAGACTATGGTTTGCAACTGGGGACAAAGATCGTACTTTTTGGAGAAATGTCCTCTGGTCTGATGAAACAAAAAGAGTTTGGCCATAATGACCATCGTTATGTTTGGAGGAAAAAGGGGGGCGCTTGCAAGCCAAAGAACACCATCCCAACCGTGAAGCACGGGGGTGGCAGCATCATGCTGTAGGGGTGCTTTGCTGCAGGGGGACTGGTGCACTTCACAAAATAGATGGCATTATGAGTAAGGAAAATTATGTGGATATATTGAAGCAACATCTCAAGACATCAGTCAGGAAGTCAAAGCTTGGTCGCAAACCGGTCTTCCAAATGGACAATGACCCCAAGCATACCTCCAAAATTGTGGCAAAATGGCTTAAGGACAACAAAGTCAAGGTATTGGAGTGGCCATCACAAAGCTCTGACCTCAATCCTATAGAGAATTTGTGGGCAGAACTGAAAAAGCGTGTGCGAGCAAGGAGGCCTACAAACCTGACTCAGTTACACCAGCTCTGTCAGGAGGAATGGGCCAAAATTCACCCAACTTATTGTGGGAAGCTTGTGGAAGGCTACCCGAAACGTTTGACCCAAGTTAAACAATTTAAAGGCAATGCTACCAAATACTAATTGAGTGTATGTAAACTTCTGACCCACTGGGAATGTGATGAAAGAACTAAAAGCTGAAATAAATAATTCTCTCTACAATTATTCGGACATTTCACATTCTTAAAATAAAGTGTAGATCCTAACTGACC